TTCTCGACCTCCGAGGACACGAAGTTGTGTTCGCAGTCGTAGTTGAATATAAGACCACCGCTTCTCGAGATGATATACACGCTGTAAATGCCCGGCATTTGTGTGGACACGAGTTGATCACCTGATTATGTCTTAAGGTTACGGCTAATTGTCACTCAAATCAGTGTTTCATTTGATTTGTTTTTGTTGTCAAATGGGTTTGAGAGGCGTTTATGTGAACGTTATTTGTCATCACGTTTGACACCTTTGTATGCCGTAGTCTACTACTGATATGTATTATGAAATTCATATATAAAAGTCTGGTTTACTCGGTAACAAACTTTTCTCTGTATTGAAAACACTTGTACTATATGTTGAGAAATAGTAATAAGGCTTTTATATACAGTAAAGCATATAAGTGTATAGTATTAAAAAGTTCTAAACATTCGCTAGTATTTATAGCAAAACACGTTTGACAGCACGTGTGCCGTGCATTCAAAAAACGTTTGAAAAGTCAGTCATTCATTGCATTTGCTGTGAAAAACAAACACAACTTCTTTGTGGACACAAACTCTTGGAGCGGTTCCCTCTGCGGTGATGTCTAACTGGACGCAAATACAGCAACAACTGAGACACCCGTCCAATCCCGTGGTGTTTTTCGACATCACGATCGGCACCACAGAAGTCGGTCGCATGAAAATGGAGTTGTTTTCTGATGTCGTGCCCAAAACGGCCGAAAACTTCCGGTATGTGTGCCATCGGACACGTGATAATCACCCCGAATCTGATCCATGTCTACCACCCATACAGACAGTTCTGCACCGGCGAGTACAAGCGCGACGGCGTTCCCATTGGCTATAAAGGCGTGTCTTTCCATCGTGTGATCAAAGACTTTATGATACAATCGGGAGATTTCGTGAACGTATGGATCAGTTGTTTTGTGGGATTTGTTGAGCTGTGGATCCGTTGATTGATACGTGTTTTGTGTCCACAGAATGACGGGACGGGTATTATGTCGATCTTCGGCGGCGGGAAGTTTCCCGACGAGAACTTTGGGCTTAAACACGACTCCCCGGGACTCCTGTCTATGGTTTGTATGGTTTTTGGACTCATTGTTTGGGTTTTAATTTAGTTTTTGGTTTAATTGTCATTAATTAATGGGTTTTTAGTGCAAAATATTTGATGCCTTGAAGTGTTTTATGTTTTTTAATTGATTAGAGAGAGAGAGAGAGAGAGAGAGAGAGAGAGAGAATTGTAATTCAAAAAACACTCTTAAAACTAGTTTTACTTTATTTTATTAGTTTTAAGACTTATTTTTCTAACTTTTTATGTTTTATTATAGTTTACAAATGTCTTATCACTAAAGTTCTCATCAATGGTGTGATTATCTTATAGGCAAACAGTGGTAAAGACACGAATGGCTGTCAATTCTTCATAACGTGTGCGAAATGCGATTTTCTCGACGGAAAACACGTGGTCTTTGGTATGCATTCAGTGATTGAATTGATTTTATTATATTTTTTTTTGTTTAATTGTGTTTTTGTGTCTCATTTTTAGGCCGTATTATAGACGGGATGTTAGTTATGAGGAAAGTGGAGAACGT